CTGTGAAGACTCATGCTAAAAGACCTCAAAGTTCAGAATGAATGAAGCCACTCCATGTGCGTCATGCATGACATCAGACTTCATTTCTCCAAAGAAAGGCGAAACATTTGGCATATCGAAATGCCATTTCTAGTTCCCTTCCCACTCCGCTGTTTGTTTAAAAATTTCGGACAGCGATGGAGCTGAGTAATCCATTTATTAGGCGATATGTTTTGTCTTCGCTTCCCAAACTGCATAAAAATGTTCAGTGAGGGCAGTTCATGAGCTGTACTCTCACAGTTACGTCGATTGCAATGCTCCGTCTAGTGTGTCCGGTGCTTCTTTTACTGGCTCTACTGGACATGAGAAGCCAAGCAAGTGAGGATTTTTTTTTTGCTTTACTGAGTCGTTTCCTGAGGAGGAGGCCGCACTCCGGTATTTCGGTGATTTTTGGTGGACATTTGGTTCGGCAATTAAGCGAATACTTGAGTGTTGACCTAGCTTGACTTTCACCTTTGAAGTGTTTTTCCACGCCCTCCCTTCATTTTCAGCCAATAACTTAGTCGCCCCTCACGACGGTTGGGTAGGAGTGGTGGGCGGAGTGAGGGGGGGGGGCGGAGTTAAGCAACCGTTTCTCCTATGGCAATGCCCTAGTTGAAAGTGGATGCCGCGGTGTTCGAATGTAAAACGATGTGGATTAGGCTCGGCATTCTATACCGTGTTTTGAATGGAAAACTATATAGAGACCTCAGTATCTCGATAGAGTTAGGAATGCGATTACAAGCATGGAAACCAGAACTGCTGAACGTCATGATTGCTCCGGATGCGGGAACCTTTCAGGAGGGTCGGATTTGGCGCGGCGATGCTAAGGGGTGGGAGAACGGTAGGGGAGGGGGGGCACTCACATTGAGCTAGATTTCCGTGCTCAAATTCCTACGTGAATCGCACATCTCAATGATACAGACGTAGACCTTGTAGGTGAACAAAGGAAGCCCTATCAACTGCGTAGGCTCGCATTAAACCGTTCTGCACGGGAGGTATTGGCAGTGATCGACGGGATCCAGCACAATACCCCAGAAGCATTTTGTTCAAAACGCAGTTATGTGAGGAACGCATTGTACATTGCAGTATACATAATTTCAGGACTCACAAACCTCCCGCCAGCGATGCATGGTGAAATGAAGCAGACGGAACCACCTCCTTTGAAATTCGAGTTTTATTGGCTCCATTTCCGACCCATCACAAAAAAGCCCGTCCACGAACAGAAACCACCTCCTTTGAAACTCGAGTTTGATTGGCTCCATTTCTGACCCACAAAAAAAGCCCGTCCACGAACCAGGACAGCAGAAGTACCTCTGATCTATTGGTGCAGGTGATCGTTTTCTGAAGACATAATGATTAGCAAGTTTCCGTACATTCTACGTTGGTCACACAGGTGGATTCTCCCAGTCCACTGCGCTTTCCTCAAGTGTGTATACCTTCTCTTCATTATCGTGGGGTCAAAGGTACACATCATCAAAAATTAGGAGTGCAAGCAAGTGGCACAAGCAACCCCGCCCGGCGATCAGAGTAGAATGTGGCCTTGGCTTTTATATGGGTGTAGCTCTTCTCTTCCTGAACAAACATTCGAATTCACAAGTTCAATGATCACGTTATCGCTGAATATATTCGGTTTTTTTATTGGGTATCTATGTCTGTTAACTTTGAAGCCAAATAAACATGAGTTTTCGGTTTGGGACCATGTTCATAAAATTTTTTCTTGAAACGACTGAACTCAACTCAGAAATTTCCAAAGAGTGAGTGCCCAAGGAAGATTTGGGGCTTTTAATCCTTGAAGGGCGCAATTGTGTGCTTTACTTGAAAGTGGCAGCTGTAGTGCTTTTTGTAAGGTACCTGCCGTGTTGGGACAATTTTCATCATGTCTTTGACGGCTGTTCCAGACGGAAATCTCCCCTGAGAAACGAAGGGGTAGGGTATGCTGTCCATTTTCCAGCAATACTGTCTATATACTCGAGGTCCTATTTTTTTTTGAACGATCTGCAAATGCTAACTCCTATCATACTCTTCCAAATCCACAAGAAACCTCGGGTGTAGTTCAGCACATCCGCCGTGAAGGGGGTCAGTGGGCCGTAAATGAGCCAGTGTGAGCATTTCCAACAGAACTACCTCTATCAAGTTAGCAATAATGCGGCGTTTTACACAGAGCAGTTAGGAAATAGTGTGCTATTGGGTCGTCCCATGAGTAATGTCGTCTTTTTTCGCACTCGAAATATCGCGCTAAAGACTAATATTTCACTAATTCTTTTTCACTAATATTTAGGTGTTCATACTGTAGTGTCAGGTTGACGAAATTGAGCATTTTCGGCAGCCTCTCTTTTTTACCCCTCATTAAAAAGCTCAAAATCACACAGGTTCCGTTGTTTAAGTATATGGCCAAAGGCTATGTCTCTTAGGAATGTTTACGACAGTATAAGTGACGCGAGGTTCAGAGTTCAATTCCGAACTCACAGTCAAGCTTCGAACATACAAGGGAATGGTTTCAATTCCCCATGGAACTTTGAATTAAGACCTAGGTACATCGATAGAGTCTCGAATGCTGATTACGAATATGCAGATTAAAAGTGCTACGGGGACCTCCCAGACGAGTTCTGGGCGGTCAAAGTTTGCGAAAACTCAGTTTTGGCTCGTAAGTGCTGCTGATCGACCGCTGGCTGGTGCCACCGTGGCCTGGTGGTAAGTTAATGGCTTCAAGGACACTACTTCTGGGGTGCCCTGTTGTCTCCGGAAAGCCTACGGAACCACCTTATCCACGGAGATTCATGTCATAGATTGAGGAGTCGTTCGAGTGCTCCTAGAGTTCATAGAGTGCTTCCTTATCATAGTCAAGCATCACTTCACTTGAATGAAAAATCTGAAAATTTAGTGGGTAGGTTCTGCCGACAGTCGCTCTAAGAAGGCCCCCACGAAATACACATTCACAAGGT